TATATACATAGTGCCAAAAAATGGTGGATGGTAAAATACATTCCTCGGTCTTCATTGTACATATGCTAATATACTGCAATCTGTATTAAAAATATGTTGTCTTTTACATTATCTTTGTTTTCCTCACCTTTCTTTTTGTACCTCCAGAAATTTCTTTAATTTTCTTGTCGGCGTGTTCACTAATCTTCAAGCCCTCCATGTAGCTGAAACAAATGAGGTATTATCATTAAGTGCGAATTTTAAAAAGATGGACTCCATCCCCTAGTAGGCAAACAGGCCATAAGTCTTCTCAGAAGCTTACTGAGATGCGAAGTCAGGCCCAAAAAATAAAACTTCAATTTACTGTACCTACACATTCCATAAATAAATAAATAAATCAATCAATAAATCCTGATCTTTTTCAAAATTTTACTGTAGATTTAGTTAACTTACTGGTTTCCAATTTTAGCGGCATCTTCCTTTGAGAGTCCTTTGATGGCGCCATAGGCCTGCAAGTGTTCTCGGACCGTCAAGTCAGGCCACAGAGGATCAACCTGAGGGCAGTAGCCCATGGTCTGGTAAGCCTCACTCAGAGACGAAGCAATGTCATTCACACCAACTCTCACCTGCGAACAATACAGCTTAACAGTTTACGTCATGTGTTATAAATACAGGTCTCCATCTAATTAAAGACCCCCTCCAATTAAAGACAACGTCCACCTTTTATTTGACAAAAAAACTGTTGTATGCCCATATATAGTCATGATGTGCCTATATATGGTCATGATGCCCTCATGAACATATTTAGGCATATCACATGTTTTTGTCAAATAATTCTTTTTTTTTAGCCTGGAAAAAGGCTTTAGAATGTGAAAATTACCTGTCCTTTGGTTGGTTCAATATCTGCAGTGACTACATTCATTGTACTGGTCTTTCCTGCACCGTTTGGACCAAGAAGGCCAAGGACTTCACCAGGACTTACAGCTAGCGAGACATTTCTCACAGCTACCTTCACCTTACCTTCAGCCTTGGTCTTCTTGTCTTTCCTCAAATTGAACTCTCGTCGTAGATCACTGACCACCAAGGCAGACGGCTTTAAGTAATAAGATAATGTTTTTTATCTGCTTAAGCTCCACACAATCAAATTTATATTTAAATCAAGCAGTGGAGTATCTAGGAGTCTTGAAATAGGGGATGGGGGCTGAAGGGGCACAAAGGTTAAGTTAGGGGGCTTGATGATTGAGAGGGTGCTGGCTCACAAAATAAAGTGATATATGATTTTTATCTACTTGAACATGTTTTTTTAGCTTCAAACATTTTCAATGGGGGACTGTCACATAGAATTTTATATGGACAGAAGAGATTTGTGAATTATTATTTTGACTAAAGCTTAACTTTTAACACAAAACTAGAATCAGTTTGGAAGGCCGAGGGGAAGTGCGCTTATATCATTCAAACACCTCTATATCTGAATGATTTCAATAAAAGTGAAATAAGGTGTTTAAATTTGTATGTTGCTATTTCCAAGTAGTTAATAATAAATTAAAATTACCTTGTTGTTCATGAGAATATCTTTTACCCGTTTCCTCTCTTCAACAATATCCTCATCTTCATCTTCTATCACATCATCATTGATCTTGCTGTACTTAATATCAGTTGACCTGTGAAGTGAAAGCAAACACCAATCAAGCATTATTGTAGTCATACTCAATATTATTTTCATGATTTAAATGAATATTTACATCACAGATAGAATAAAATTAAACTTACCCACAATAAAAGGCATCCTTCCAGTCTCCTCCGGTTTTCATTATCTCACACCAACGGAGGAAAAAGTACATATAGACCAAGTCCACCAAGAGCTGTGGCCAGAAAAAGGAAGAAATATTATGTCAATTCATATACATTTTGAAGATGTACTGTTAAAAAACTGATGTTACCAGGAATTCTGGATTAATAAATGGTCTTCTAAAACACAAATTTATATATTATATTATTAATATTATTAATTCACAATATTTTCGTAAGTGTACAAACAGTATGTTTGAAAGAGGGGGGTTGATATTTTGTAGCCATGAAGCCTTGTTTCCTTAAAATCGCTACACTGTCCCTGTACAGTGTTTTCAGTGCAATCATTGTACTGCGTACTACTGCGGCGATACCGTGTAGCTATTGGATAGAACCCAAGCTTTATTACTAAAAAACACAGATGTTGCAAAATCAATCATGTTTATGTAGACTTTTTCAGATGGTAATTCATTTGGCAAATCTGACAGATAACTCTTTTGGCAAATCCGACAATAAAAGATCCTCTATGGATGGTACAATTAAAGAGGGAAAAAAATACACAGAAACTACATAATATTTGCTTACAATTAATATTGTAGGGATAATGTATGCATCAAACTTGAAGTAATCCCCTGCTTTAATGTCATCTGCTCTTGAAAAAAGAAGTTCCCACTCGTAAATCTAAAGAAAAAATCAAAACATCTACTTTCAAACAATGTTTTAAATAACCAGAATTACAATTTTTGCTAAAGACCATTTTACTATGAAGTGCATCATATAAGGGGACTTGCCAAACCTTGCTGGCAGAGTTGACAAAAGGAGCCAACACGTGAATTCATATCCACACCTGTCAAAACATATTAATATTGTGGAGTGGTCGCCAGAACGTGAACTCTTTCTCTAGAGGTTCAGGGAAGTAGTAATGGTCTAACAATAAATACCATATGTTCATGTTTCAATACAGTTTATGGGAATCATTTTCATTATGGTGGCGCCCTTTATGCCCTGGCGCATGAAATAAAACTAGTGAAAAAAGGCTTGGCTGTCAACTGAGTTGAAAGCCTAATCTAGATCACATATGCAAATCAACATTTTAATTTGACTTTGAGGGTTTTCTAGACTTGAGGGTTTATCTTCTAAAATGTATCTACATGGTGAGTCCTACACTATAAAATTTGTGCTCTTCAAAGGAAACTAGCTTACCTTCACAATATAATAAATTCCGCCATAAATTGCGTAGGGCGGGAAAAGCAACGCAAACACCAAATGAATAGCAGCAGCTGCTCCTGTTGTACCCATCAAATCTAGGACAATTACAGGAACTGCTATAACAGTTGGAACCTACAATATTAAAATAATGTAGTGGTTTAATATAATAGTTCCAGTAAACATCTCTCTCTCTCTCTCACCTAACATGTTTTTTTTCTCGCTATAGCCACTCTCGAATAATCGCAATAATCACTGTGGCGTATATTAGAGCAAATCTATTTTGAATATACTGTACATCACGATGCCTATCGAGGGTAGTGACCTACATGCTAACATGCTTAGTTGTTTTGTATCATGTTTTGTTATTTGTATCAACACTGGAGTATTATTAAATTACTGATTTCTCACAAATCATATAAAAACTAGAGCTCTGTCCAAAACCATCAAATTCTTTTTTGACAAAAACATGTGACATGTTTTAAATATGATAATTATGGCATCACATCATGACCATATATAGGTACAATAAGACTATATATGGGCACATCATGCCTATATATGGGTATACAACAGCTTTTTGTCAAAGCAAATTTGATAGTGGGCACAGAGTATAGAGGTCAAAAGTCACAAACACACGTCCTGTACAATACATGGCACCAAAACAGCATTTCTATTACTTGTGATAAATACTGCTCTTGTGAATCATCACACTAAATCACCTGCCTGGGAAAGCGCAAGCTTTTTTTTTGTTGGGGGGGGGGGATATTTTTTGTGCCTATTATTGTATAATAATTATAAGTACATCAGTATAATTATCATTATTATCATTATTAGTTTTCTGCATCATCATTATAATTATTACAATTACACAAAGACACATTCGACAACATGAAAGTCTAAAAAATATTTTAAATGAAATTGGCTCCTTAATATTATGAAATTACTATGGTTCTATTCATAGCTAACCCTGAAATGTTATTTCTATGTAAATTTTACGTTTAATATAACAAAACTATACTGAATATTGAATATTATTACGCAGTCATATAAATAAAACATTTTTAGCTTAGACTTACTAATGAATAAAATGACGGCAAGACTGCTTGACACGATTCAAAACTGTCAAACATGAACGACACACAGTACGCAAATATTGTAGACACCGGTAAATATGTAATGAGCAACAACAGAAACGTAATCATAGCGCCTGCATTCATAAAGGCGTCGACTTGGAAAGCTAGAATTACGATGATACCAATCAGACAGGCAAGTGCGTAGAACGCAACATCAATTGCCAGCCATGTTACCCAGTACGTCTGCATTGTTACGCCAGACACTCGTAGCTGAGCTCTTGTCTTCAACTATCAATTTAAAATTAATAACCATTATGACTTCATAGTATTCAAATAATAAATGCAGATGATGATTTCATTTATGATATATACAGTACAATATTATTATCATATGACAATAAAAATAACAATGAAAGGTTATAATAATAATTATAAAAATAATTATAACAGTAACAACAAAATGATGGTAACATATCATAATAAAAATAGCAAACAATATAATGAAAAAATGAAACAGTAACAAATAAGTATAGTAAGTATAAGTATAAGTATAGTATTGTAATTACAATAACTAGATAGTGCGCTTGCTTCGCACGCTTACCCTCTAGTGTGTTAAACATCACAATTAGTTTTGATAAAATAAAACAATTATTCATGACCATTAAAAGAAGAAAACTGTTGATTCAATTAGGCTATGTCAAAAAAAAAAAAATTGTTGATCATTTAAGCATGAAGGATCTTCCAGCATAGTGTTTGATCAGGTGGAATTTATACACTCTAACAACTCCCTGTACAAACAAACAAATGAAAAATAAAATAATTACACAAAAATCATAGGCAGAAAGACGACATTTTCGTAATTTATGGTCGGGTGATTGCTTTTTGTAGGGAGGGGATGATCAACTAATTATTTTTTTGTATGGACTTATACCGAGTCAAACCTCAGGAAACTAAATGCGTGACTGTGTAAACAATGCCATGTACTTAAAAAAGCTTAAGATCCAGTAAATAAGGATCATTAGTTAAAATAATAGTAACATTGAAATAACAAACCTCACGATCTTTGACCTTATCGACTGCAAAATAAGGCGGAATCAAATTAAGGGAGACAGCAAAGAGCACAGCTAGTACAACAGCGCCATTAAATGTATAATCACCCGAGCCAACAGACGGGAAATCTTGTGATGATACACTGATGTTACCGGGGTTGCTGTCCAACAGGCCGTAGAGAGAGTTCATAAGAATGTTTATGAGGATTGGTAAGGAATGAATGGCTGTATCGTTGTAGTGTGCTACAAATGAAAAATTATTCTGAAATGAAAAAAAAAAATCCAAAAAATTACATCAATGTAATATAATAACATGTATAGGGTGATAAAAAAATGATAATGCTCTGTCCAGACTATCAATTTTTTTTGACAAAAAACTCTTGTTATGCCCATATATAGTCATGATGTGCCTATATATGGTCATGATGTGCCTATATATGGTCATGATGTGCCTATATATAGTCATGATGTGCCTATATATGGTCATGATGTGCCTATATATGGCCATGATGTGCCTATATGTCAATTAAGACTTTCTAAGAACATCATGACCGGTCCAAACTGAATAATAGTAAACAATAAGTTACCAAAAAAAGCTAACAAGAATTTTCAAGCTCATGATGCAGTCGTGTGTGTCCTGGGGCGGATTGCTATAAAACGGTCTTAACTGGTAGTCTTAACTCCTCAAATGAAGCCGGAATTATCACTTAGATGGTCTTACTAAAGTCATTCCTCTAAGACTATTGCTATAAAACAGTCTTCCCAAAGACTGCTTCAAGTATTGAAACGCAAACAAGCACTCCCTGGTAACGTAAGATTGAGGGCGACGTCATGTGTGCTCGACGCACGCAAATGTATCGAAATAATGTAAATAAACTTCGTAGACCTATTTTTATAGATGCTGAAAAGTGTGCGGACCATTCGTCGTTCGATTCTCCGACTTTGACGATCTAGGACCTTGGTCTTGCCATTGCACTGTTGAATTAATTAGCAGAACGCCATGATGAAAATGATTTAAGACCGTTTTAAGCCTCCTCCGAGTAGGCTTTAAAATTTAAGACGGCTAACTGGTTAGACAGCAGTATAGCAATGGTCTATAATCATAGACCAGTAGTTACGTCACGATTATAGCCGGGTAACCATTAAGATCGTCTAAAGACCGCTTATAGCAATCCGCCCCTGGGCATATGTTAGTACATTCAGTGAAGAGACAGTGAAGTACATTCATCATCACACGGGAACGGGAAGTGCATAGTACAACGTTGACAAGGTTGACTGAATTCCCCGTCGCAGCTCCTTGCGTTGCCCATTTCGAAAGCTCGCTATTATTACATTGCATGCAGAAACAAATACTTTCATCATCACAGTCGTGTGTGTTCTTGGCCTGTATTATTACATTGCATGCAGAAACAAATATGTTCATCATAACAGTCATGTGTGTTCTTGCCTCATATTATTACAGTCAGTGAGGAAACAAATACATTCAAAATAACAATTCAACAACTTTAGGCTTAGTACACATAAAACACATTACCAAATTTTTGGCGTTAACAGCCTGGTGATGAGGGGCATCCGAAAGCAACGAGCTGAAGTTTTTCATTTCTCCATTCTTGATGTCCAACCGATCAAACTCCGACACCAGTGAACTGATATTTTGGCCTAAAAATGATTGTTGTATGTTTGAAGATACCCAAACAATTAGTAATATATAGTAATACAGTAATGTGTTATTGTGGCAGACACACATGTTAATGTGGTAGACCCACATGTTATTGTGGCACATACACATGTTATTGTTGCAGACCCTCATGTTACTGTTGTAGACTGACATGTTATTGTGACAGACACACATTATTGTGGCAGACCCACGTTATAGTGGCAGACACACCTGTTATTGTGGCACACCCACGTTACAGTGGCAGCCACACTTGTTATTGTGGCAGACCCATGCTATAATTTCAGAAACACTGTTTATTGTGGCACACCCACGTTATAGTGGTAGACACACGTAATAATTTGGCAGGCCAACATTATAATGGCAGACACACTTGCTTATTGGTAGACCCATATGTGACAAAGACAAGCCAAACCAGTCACTCGTCGCAAAAATCAATTTTAAGTTATTTACCGTAAAATGAGAGCTATAAAATGGTAAAAGAATCATTTAAATCTGAGATTTCATTATGAAGTTACAGGAGTCTAAACATACAGCTGTTTAAAGGCAAACATTTGAGAAATCAGCCTTCAAAGTTTATGATTTTGGGCATTTCTCAGGCAGAAACAATCACCAAATCGTTAAAAATAGTTGTTTTAACATTGAAAATGGGAAAAATAACAGCATATCATGAAATGTAGATATATAAAGGTTAGTTTAGTGCAATAAAATAGATTTCAAAAATTCTGACATTCCAGCATGTTTTGGTCATTATCTCTGAAACAGGATTTGCGACAAGTGACGGTTTTGGCTTGTCTTTGCCACATAGATTATTGTGCAGACCCACGTGTTATTGTAGCAGACCCACATATTATTGTGGCAGACCCACATATTATTGTGGCAGACCCACATATTATTATGGCAGACCCACATGTTATTGTGGCAGACCACATGTTATTGTGGTGACCTGCATTTTATTGTGGCAAATACACCATGTTATTTTGGTAAAAACACATGTTACTGTGGTGGACCCACATGTTATTATGGCAGACCCACATGTTATTATGGCAGACCCACATGTTATTGTGGCAGACCCACATGTTATTGTGGCAGACCCATATGTTATTGTGGCAGACACACATGTTATTGTGGCAGACACATTTGTTATTGTTATTGTCAACTTTAGACTATGACTGTCAAATTAAACTGTGATTGTTACTTTTAAAACTTTGACTGTTGATTTTAAACTGTGATAGTCATTTTAAACTGTTACTACATTAAACTAGTGTGACTGTTGATTTCAAACTGTGATTTTCACTTTAAAACTGTGACTGTTACATACAATTTTTCCATTGTCACTTCATCCTACTTTCAAACAACTTACCTGTTGGGAGGGAATTTTGGTAGAGTAGCTCGGTCTTGGTTTCGGGATAGCCTGAGAGGTTTTGTAAGTACAAATCTCTGGAGAGGTGGATTTTTTGAGGATTCAGACTATCGTTGTTACTCGTAGGAATCACCAGCACCATAACAACGCCAATTACCATGTAAATGTTTGGCATAATGAATCGCACAACGTAAGTCTAAAAACAAAAAATTAAATTGAGATATAACAATTTTGACTAAATTTACACTTTAGAGAATAGCAAACTTGAATAAGCTTTGGCCTCGCCTTATAAGGTAAGATAAACTTCATTGTCAAAATCAAATCGCACTGAAAAATCCATAAACTTACAGAAGGGTTTCTTATAACCAATAGACCGAAGATCCTAAAAAGGCTCTTAAACTGGGCCTTGAAGCTAGGATTGATGGGATCAGTTGCCAATGCAGAAGAATCTAGAACCACCTCTGGTACTTCAATGACTGTATCTCTTTGGTCCAGGTTGAAGCCTGAGAATGGACAATAATGACAGATATATTATGTATATATTAACAATATAAATAAACACAATATACATATTATATAATATTAAAATAAATATAGCATAATAATAATATACTAGAATTACTCCTTTTATACTACGCAGTAAAAGCATAGGGGCCCTACTCGGAAGGGCCCTACTTGGTGGGGACACAAGTATTTTTGGGGTGTCGTCTACACAAAAACTGTACTTTACTAAGAGTGAAGTCTACTCAACGGGTGTCATCAATGGAGATGTGGACATATAGGTAGTTACTGTAATCACTGAGATCCAGCATGGTGGCCTGTCAGCACATACCGGCTGATCATGATAGACAGTGATTGATTTCACAAAAGTTTCCATGCTGGTGCGTCTGCGATTAAAACTTTCTTTGTAGCTATCTATCCATTGCGCAACGCGATTTACACACGATATCAATCGATCAATCAACCCATCAATCAACCTTTCTTTCAGAATTGAGTATTCACATAACAATTATCTAAAAAACAATTATTTATTTATTTTTTTTTTTTGTGATAAAAGGGGGTGGAGGAGGAATTCTCCTTTGGCTACCTACACTACTTAACAACCCTGTAGATAGGCCTTGGCTCTAGCCCTGCAGTTTGGCTAGGCCTTCAATTGCCTAAGCAAGATGGGCCTAGGCCCCAGACAACTAAAAGGTAAGGCCTGCATGAGCATTATTTCCTCTGCCCAGAATTTAGTCCTAGAAATCACTTAAGTTCAGCGCAACTCGTGCAAAATTTAAAGTATTTTAAAAATTAGATTTTGTTTACTCATAGAAACTTAGGCCTAGTTCAGACTAGGTGGATAAACCCAGCTCAACTCACTGGGTTTATCCACCTGCCAGTCTGACCTAGGTGGCTTATCTCAAGCCGGGCTGTGTCCCTATAGTAACTAAGCCTGGCGCGCCACTGTGTTTAACTTTTCTAAGCTGGGCTTTAATCGTTGCCGGGGGTTTTGCATTGACTTCGGGTGACAAAAATGACCAATCAGCATTCAATTACATACGCTGTGAGCGAGCGTACCTTTTCGCGAGCAATGATTTGAAACACATTTCCTGGTTTTGGTTCAAATGCAAATTCTCGCCTGGCTAAATCCGCTAGTCTAAGCCGGGCTTAACCTTGAGCCAGGCTTAACTCAAGTCTGGCTCATCTCCAAGTCTGAATGTAGCCTCATAGTATAGTATATAGTAAGATTTATTTAATATTAGATTTTGTTTTATTACGCTAAAGTAAAGGAATGAAATACATAGGTACGGTTTATCATGGTAACAACTATTAGCCTAGCAACGACAACAACAACAACAACATGAAGAAAAACATGAGAAAAATAAATAGACTCTCCGCAGCTTCGCTCCTTCGGGGAGGCTAATAAGGACAGGAAGATGATGTAGTTGATGATCATGTTGATGCTGATGATGAAGTGATAAGATAATGATGAAGAATGATGTAACAAACGCTATAAAGATCAATCATTTTTACCATTGTTATCATTAGCGCTCCCTTCAGTTCCCAATCCGTCTTGCTCTCGTTCTTTTTCCAAGTCTGCTTCTTCGCCAATCTTCAGGAAAACTTCCTCCAAGGTCGTCATTGAAACGCCATAACTTTGGATTCCCATCGACTTTGATGCTTCAACGCCATTTGCATTTTCAACTTCAAGTTCCCTGAAGAGACCTGAAGGAGTAATGTCAAAAAAATATAAATTGTTGCGTATTGTAGCAAATGACATAATAGCATAGAAATTTTATTATGATATTTAATAATATGATTGCCTAAATCTTTTTTTATATTGAAAATCATTAGGCTCATAAGCAATTTGGCCTTCGGACCACAATTAGCACCAATTTTAATGTTTTAAATGTTTTTTTGACAAGTGAATAAATGAATGAAAATGAACTATTATTTTGTTATAAAATACAGAAACTGTCCTTGGCTTCCTGCCAAGATAACCAATATAATATTGTCTATGAAAATTTTTATGTAGATGTATTAACAGTAGAATTTTGAACTTTGTTCTTATAATTAACTTTTATAATGAAATTTCTTGGTGTTACTCGTAGACACCTGTCTGGTCTTTTCTAGCCTGTTTTTATTATATTGTTCTGTACAGGGCCACAGCTAGATAGCCATGGGGTTAGGGGGTATGATGAGACACCTATAGCACTTCATACGAGTGTTGCTACACTCGTCTTTTAATGTTCGGACAAGGAATTGTTGTTCACGTTTTTGCATTGACAGTTTAACATTTTTCAACAAAGCCAATGGATCTGCGCATCCTTCCAGTGTTGTACACTATTACAGCGAATGACACATTTACAATTACATGTACGTTCCGGCCAGAAAAAGAATGGTACTGAATTAAACATTGGTGTGTCAGTCATTGCATTTGAGACATATCTGCGTATGGACCATAACAAATTGAAATTGATTTAGAGTAGAATGTGGAACGAATGTGACGACAGTCACAAATGAGTGAATCCGTTCTACATTCTGGTTAAATACATTCTCAATCAAAAGCTCTCGATTGTCATGGCTAAAATTTAAGTTTCAATTGTTCTTTTTGCACAAATATCATCACTTTTGCTTGAACATCATCACTAATATATATTTTAGATGAATTTTCTTTGACACTAAGTCATCGGCTGATGTCATCCGATGAAGTGCGCCCTCTGTTGGTTTTTGAGGTCTTCTTCTCTACATACCAGACTGGCTGAGGTGGTTAGGTCATTCACCTGATGAAGATCAACGAAGTTGGTCAAAACTTTAGTGGTATGATATTTTACTGTTGGCTTAGTATCAAAGAAAATTCATCTAAAATCATCACTTTTTTATACATTCGGTTAATTTATATATTCAGGGCCTCAGCAATTTAATACAAAATGTAGAAACATGAACATAAATGATTATTTGTGAGAAGGCACTACATAGCCAAGTCAATAAGTACTTTACCTGCAAACAAGTTGACATCCTTCAGCGGCAACTGGAACGACAACTCCATACCATGTGACCTTATGACCTTTGCATCACTGACCTTTGACACAATAACATCTTTGACAGCATCATGATTGCAATCCATCTCAGTCACCATGCTGCATATGAAAATCAAAAATACTCATTCAAAGAAATGCCCATACAGTATTTCTCAACTTTAATATGATTAACACATTTGCTGCCAGGGACACATGGTCATCCCATAAGACAATAAGAATTTTCTAAAAAAAAAAAAAAAAATATTGATTTCCCTAAACTTTTTAATGAGAATTAGTTAAGAGTTTAATGTCAAAGTAGAATGTATTCATACATAAAAAAAAAAAAGAAATTTCATTGCTTATTACAGTATAAAACATTAAAATTATTTAAAATAGATAAAAAGTTATGAAACAACAAAAATATGGATATCGAAAAACATTAAAAATTTGTTTAAAAAAAAGCACATTATTATTATATAAAACTGTTATGTAAAAAAAACAAAAATAGAGAAGTTAAAATACAAGTAAAATTTAACCATCAAAAGTTACTTCTCAACGACATAAAAACATCAATTAAAAACTTCCACAGCATTTTAGTGATATTCAGCAATTGTATTTCCTTTTCTATGTGCAACGAAAAAAAAATAAACAAGAAAATCCAAGAACAGTATGTAAGTAAAACTCTAAATAGAAACAACCAGTGTTAATTTTTTTACACAAAATGTTTTAATTAAATGTATTGCAGCATAAATATGCATTGTAGCAAGCATGCATAGTTGCATGTATGCACTGCATACATTCTTGTTACGTTTACAAGCATTAGTAATGTTTAGACGTTTCTAAATTTATTGTAAATCTTTTAAGGTGTATCTGTCATTACTTTATACATATTAGTTTCAAAGGGACCCGTTATGAAAACAAAATACATTACAGCATACATACATTAAGTAGTGGTTCCAAAATTGTGGGTCGAGGCCCAAAAATGGGCTGCCAATATCTTTCAGGGGGCAAGAAAATGTCCTACATACAAAAATAATCATATTTATTCTCTCAGTGGAAGAAGATAAAAAATATTGATGACTAAAAATATCTTAATAGTGATTAATAAACTATCAAATATATATAGATTGATTACAAATATTAATCCCATTATTTTGAAAAAAAAAAAAAAAATACAATTAACACAGTGTGCTTTTAAATAAAAATAATTTTGGAAAACTGCTTCAGGTAGGGGCTGCGATATCTAGGCTGAGTCATTGCTTATCATCATTGTTTCAGTTACACCTGCTCACTTGTTCTGCGCATAGAGACTCTCGTATTTTGCGCAATATAAATGAATGAACCTTTAACCTTTGTTTTTAAAGCTCAATCAAAAAGCTTAATGAGTGAAATCTTTTCTGACAAGGTGGGTCACCGTTGTAAGGCTGATACCTAAAGACGGTCCCCACGAAAAAAGTTTGGGTTTGAAGCACTGAATTAAAGCACTGAATTAAAGCATATATACATTTTAGGCATTTTATAATGTTGTACATGGAGGTCAGCCTTAAAGTCCTTTGAACTTATTTGACCTCCATACACACACATGTTTATTTTTATATTACTTAAGTATTGTTACCTATATTGCATGTTTAATTGTATATGATTTGGAAAAATTAAATAAACAAACAAACAAACAAGAATACATGCACTTCAACAAACATATAATAATTGCATATATATTTTAACATTTCAGCATGCCTTTCTTTTAGTGTATTGTTTTCCCAAAGCAAGATTCTGACTAATCCAACGTTACCTCACAGACTACAGGACTTTGCTTCTCCTGATATGCGGGTTTCTTTCAAAACTTTTGATCAAAATGGATAAAAAAAAATCTAATTAGGTTTTGAGTTTTGCTTAAGCAGAAACAAGACTGTGGTTTCTATCCAAGCAATGTTTTACTTATACAATGATGGAAAAGTAAACACAGTAAAAGTTTTTGGCAAAAAGTGTGAGGACAAATAGAAAGGATTTCATGTTTATTTCTCATAATTGCACATTTTCATGTCAATTACGGTTTAATCAGTACCTTTGAGATATCAAGCCTGGGTTGAAAATGTTAAGCATCCACACTTACGTAGGTTGGCCTAGGTTGACCTAATTCAAATAGTAAAAATCCTTGCGCACAAACATTGTACTGCCAGCTGTGATTGGTTACATTTTGGTCACAGGTTTCTGTGAGACATTCGAAATGGTAAATTCTAGGCCAACCCGAGGTCAATGAGGTTCACACTACACATTTCTCAACTTCTGAGTCAAGCACAGGCCTAAAGCTCTAATGTGACGGTCTAGAGAGCAATGTCAAGCTAGACGCGAGTCAATCAATGTCGCGGTTCAGACTACAAATTTATCAACTGTACTGACACACACAATACAATGCTTTAGACACTGCTATGCAAAGGAACTATACTATGTACAACGATTGCAAATGAGATCAGTAGGCAGAGTGCAAAAGAGTGCCGGTATATATAGAAACGTCACAATTATTTTATAATTTGCAATACTTTATACAGTCTATATATAATCTATTCGCTGGTGCATAAGGGAATGTGTTATATATACAAAAAATGTTCACAAAGAAAACAAGAAAATTTGAGACGAGACAAGTGATTAAATAACAAGTTGCTGGGGGCAGGTGATTTGATAAATGGTATATCATTTAGTTAAATCATTAACAAAATTCATAATTACCTTAGCTTGTAGCCGATACCAAATCGATTCTTGAGAAAGAGTGATGATCCATAACAACGCAGTTTACCATTGCTTATGATGGCTTTACGATCTGCAAATCATAAATATAGACTTGGTTTTGCATATAATTTTAATAATTTTTTATTTGTATCAGTGGCGAATCTAAGAATCCAAAACAGAGGGGGCCTGAAAGGCAATTTTACAGATGGAGGATTTAGAAATAAAATGTATTCAAACATTTCTGACCCGCTAAAATGTCAGCTTCATCCATGAAATGCGTCGTTAAAAGGATGACCCTTCCCTCTCTCTTGTTTTTCAGCAATGTCCAAATTGACCGTCTTGAGTATGGATCCATACCACTTGTCGGCTCATCCAAGATAACCACCTACATCACAAATTAAGATACTTTTATAAGCATAATTGTAAGTGAATGTCTCATTTGTTCATATTATATAATAACAATATAACAATAATATAATAATAAAATATAATAACATTAACAGTAATATAAATAATAACAATGCTGATAATAATACAAATAATAGTAACAACAATAGCTCATCCAAGAAAACCCCCCAATCACAAATTGAAATATTTTTATAAAGCATAAATAAAAATGAAATTCTAATTTGTCTGTGTTATATAATAACAATATAACAATAATATAAAAAATACAATAACAAATAATATTAATAACAACAATGCTGATAATAATACAAATAATAGTGTTATCAGTATTTTTGATAACACAAATAATAGAAAAATAATGGAAATACAATACTAATGCTAATATTAACAGTGATACAAGTATCTATAAAGCGGTCGTCGGCCGACACGATTCTATGAAGAACGCAACGCGGTGACGCACATGCAACCGTTTTTAATGACGATCAAATTAGACTGCCACCGACAAGCAGCAGATAGCGTTGAGTCATCTAGCGCACGCAGGGAGTAGAGTGGACATACAACTATTGTAGGACACAGTGGTTGCCTGGATGTAGATACAGATTATTATACGAGTATTAAAAAGTATAAACAAAAACAACTGCAATAAAACGCATGTTACACTAACAACATAAAGAGGAAGTTTAAAAACATAAATTTTAAAGGTAGCTGATAAAAGGAGTTTTACAGCCGCATTATCAAAAGGGGATCCTTAAAGTACAACAGCAAACCAAACAGACCCAATGCACCAACTATTTGCATGACAAGTCAGCATGTTTACATTAAACAAAAGAAAATGATGAATGCATGTATGTAGCTGACCTGACACAATTTCAACACACTTTTTTTTGTTAAACATTTTTATTATCATTGTTGTTGTTGTTAGCCTTATTTCATACCATATCAATCAATTTAAGTACCATAAAAAGCGTTGTATGTTTAACAGTTGGTATTTATATAATATATAAATATCAACTGGAATTTAAATCGAAATAGAATACTTCTCATAAGAGTACAGCTATTTTTAGTAATCAATAATGACTAAGAATGTTGTTTAGTTAACATGTACGCATAAATACTTGTAATAATACCTTAGGGTCACCAATAAGTGCGATACCCATACAGAGCTTCCGTTTCTGACCTCCGCTCAATTCCTTCGCATACGTGGCTCCCTGCTTTTCCAGACCAACTTCTTTCAAGATTTTATCAACCTGAAATTTCAAAATACAAAATCTATCAAACTCTAGCGTAGTATACTAATTCTTTAGTGATAATTTA